TTTGGGTTTTTTTTTATAGTAAGGGCCTCACTCTAGATTTGAGACCTTAATAAGAGAAAGTTGATCTTTTAATTTTGAAAATAATGCATTTCACACTGGAAAATTGCACTCATGAAATAGTTTTACATTGTAACAATCCTGCACCAGGCAGAGGTCTTAAAAGGAGCACAGGAAGGCACAGGAACTGGACGAACGGACCCGGGGAACCAGGGCGTGGAAAGGGGAGTGCTGTCACATCGCGAGGATTGCAACCAATATCACAACACAATATGTGTATACATTTTTGAATGAGAAACTAACTTGAGCTGTCAACTGCCACCTAAAGCACAATAAAATTAAAAAAAAAAAAACAAAACACCAGTGGCGGGCACGAAGCAGACATGGTGAATTTGTGTTAGAACCCCCCAGGGCCTGCTGGGCATTCAGCAGGTTCAGAAAGGCTTGACTCAGAATCGTGATGTTGTTAAGAGTGTGGGGACCAAGGCAACATCTACCTGGGGCACAAGTGTAAGTCGGGCAGACTCTCGGGTCCGTTTGTCCATAGCGGAAAAAAAAAGGAGATCCGCATACCCTTTAATACTGCCTTTCTTTATGCATGTCACTCCATGCATGGGCTAGCACTTTGCACATACAAACATAAAGATGTTCACCGCTGTGCTATTTTTAATAGTAGGAAACTGGAATCAGGGAATGAATGATACAATTGCAAAATTAATGAATGAACTCTGCCTTAAAACAAACGCCTGACGCAACAGCGAGCTCCTTTAATGTGGCTATTGCTCACTCCCCCCAAAGCAACCTCATAAAAGGGGTTAATTGTCATCTCCAGCCTCCTTAACCTCCCCACCCACGATGGGGGGGGCCTAAAGTCTGGGTAGTCTTTAGCAACGGGTGCGGTGGGAGGGTGGGGGAGCCACAGAAGGCTAGAGGGCCTGGGAATGGGTTTTGTGAGCTTTAGAGGCTGTTTCTGGCACCTTCTCCCAGGCTCTTCTGCTCATTCTCTTCTCATGGCCTCATAAAACCTTGGAGGGCCCACCACATGCCTACCGCTGCACCACTTCTCGACATGGCCCTGTCTGCCCCCGTTGTTGTTAGCTACTGTGGAGTACGCCCCAGCTCATGGTGACCCCATGCACAACAGGGCCATTGTGATCCATAGGGTTTTCATTGGCTGATTTTCACACATAGATCAGGCCTTTCTTCCTAGTCTGTCTTGGTCTGGAAGCTCTGCTGAAACCTGTTCAGCATCACAGCACCACGCAAGCCTCCTATGCCACCCTCATGTGGTTGTGGATCAGACTGTTGAGATCCATAGGGTTTTCACTGGCTGAGTTTTGAAAGTAGATTGCCAGGCCTTTCTTCCTGGTCCGTCTTAGTCTGGAAGCGCCACTGAAACCTGTTCAGCATCATAGCAACACACCGACCTCCACCCACTGACAGTTGGGAGGCAGCCACGCCAGAGGTGCATTGACCAGGAATGGAATCTGAGTGTCCCACATGAAAGGTGAGAATTCTACCACTGAACGGCCACTGCCCTCCCTCCACCCCGACCAGGCAAAAACGGGAGATGCAGGACTGGGCTCCACAGCCCAGTGACCTGGAGCAATGTAGGTGTTCTCAACAGTGAGAGCAGCAGACCGCCTGGAGGGTCTCCTGGGTCAGGTCGGGGTCCAGGGGTCCTTGTTATTTGCATTGCGTGCCCCGGGGGATTCTCACACACACTGAAAGCTTGAGAAGTCCTGCAAGCCCACAGCCTTGCTTATTTTTCCTTGAGTTCTGATACATAAACACTGTGTGCCACATTTATAATATTTATCCATTACACATGCAGAAACAGCATAACATAACGTGCCTAGCCTCTAAGTCACACCTCAGTCTTGCAAATGTGGAGGAGCTCTGGGGGTAGGGGGGTGCAGATCATCGTCTTAAATGCGAAATACGAAATACTGCATGATGTGTCTGTGTGCTGAGCTTCTCCCATGCAGACCGCTGGGATGGGGCCAGGTGGACGGTGTTAGTTACACTTTTCTGCCAACTCTGATTGCAGAATGAGCCAGTATCCTTAGAATAACTGAGAGCTGTTGTGAACGTTTTTTATGAGATGTAACTAACGTTACCTGGTTTTAACCGCCAGAGTTGACTGAGGCGGGGGTCACTGGCTTGATCTCAATTCCAGACTCCTCCATTGACTTGAGAAACTGCCGGCATGTCATTCCTTGCCTCTGCATCTCCCGGTTCGAATCCATGCGAGCGGCATGAAAATCTGTATCCTTTCTCAGGTTCTTTCAAACATCAGTGAGGTACTGTTTGTCTTTAGTGCTGTCAGTTGCATAGAAAGACAGTGGGATGAAACGAATTATTTGCTCTCTGAATGTACTCCTTTGTGCTAGCATTTCCAATATCTTTTTTTTTTTAATTGGTACATGTTTTAAACATTCTCGTAAATAAGCATAAATGTGGGTGCAGGTAAGTTCTTCAGGTTCCAGGATTAATTTAAATTACTGCATTACTTTCATTTATAATATGCTTTCAAGTATATTTCTTGCTTTCTTTCTTATAGACCTGCATTGCCCAGTACAGTAGCCATTAGCTACATGTGGCTATTTAAATTTAAATTATTTAAAATGAAATAAAATTTCAATTCCTCAGTAGCTGCAGCCACCTTTCAAGTACTCACGAGTCATGTGTGGCTGTGGGTAGGTGCCTTTGAGTCAGTTCCAGCTCATAGTGACCCTATCTATGCACAACAGAACAAAACCCTGCCCGGTCCTGCGCCATCCTCACAACTGTTGTTATACTTGAGCCCATTGTTGCAGACGCTGGGTCAACATGTGCGGCTAGCGGCCACCATGATGGACGGTGAAGATACAGCACATTTCCATTATCTCAGAATGTGCTAGACAGCACTGCTACCCACTCTGGTATCTAAGAGGGCCTAAGTGATAGTAAATGCTGAGTAAATAAGTATTTGCTGAGTCAATGTTAAACTAATTAGTTCTAACTTGTCTTAATAATTCTTAAAATGTGTCGCTCAAAACGGAAGACAAGATCTGCCTTGCTCAAACCCGTGTCTTGACACAATTGGACTCCCTGGGATCATTCTTGCTTCTGCCTACTCCCAGCTTTATTTTTAAGGAACGCTTCATAAATTTTGGATCACACTCTCACCATATTTATCTGACGAGTTTTATCCTGGTCAAATCTGTCACATTTGTTTCTCCAGATAAAGTATCTAAATAGTATTTTTTTTTTCAACCAAACTGGGTGTTAGCAGTTGGATAAGTGAAGTATGTGTTAAACCTTCCAGGCAATTAATTTTTTCAATGTGTTAGTATCAAATTCTAGATGAATTTGTTTCTTAGAGGAAGAAAGAATTTACTTTTTTAAAGTTTACTAACATAAAAATATATATATATATATCCTAGGATACCATATATCACAAAGCAGAAACGAAACTTCCAGGGCAAAATCTCACTCCCAAAACAAATTCTGCAAGAAAATGTGAGTTGATCCAGCTATCTGTAGGAATACAATAAACACACGTTTGCTCTCAGCCCCACAATTTACTGCCTAGCCCCACAAGAAACAGATACACAGGAAGAGCTGGAGCAGAATTCACCCCGGGGGCTGGTCAGCTCAGCCGGTTTTACCCCAAAACAAGGGTCTCAGCTGCTGCCCCTCCCACAGGAACAATCATCCGGTCCCAGCAAGTTTTCCTTCTTCTTGTCTCTTTTGCAAACAATATCCGAGTTTGCAAATGTTACCCAAGTTCTCTCAAGGATATCAGATGAATGTAACCTACTTAACAAATAAACTGAAGAATATGCCCCAAGTTAAAAGAGCTGCTAAGGGTTAGTATTTTTCCACAGTTGCCCTTTCCATTAAAAAAGAAAAAAATACATTTTCTCCTGCAGAATCCTTTATAAACCTGGTTTTAATGATCCAAATTACATTTAGAAAGTCTGCTGCAACAAGAAACAGCTTTTTTATGTGCTCAACAGGAGTACTTTGCTGTTGCATTCAAGGTAGAAACATAAAACCAGAAAATGAATTTTCATTGAGTTAAAATTGTATTGATGTGAATAAAGTTAGCCACTGCCCATCCATTCGATTCTGACTCGTAGTGATTCTACAGGACAGGGTAGAACTGCCCCGCAGGGTATCGAAGGCTGTAAATCTTTAGGGAAGCAGACTGCCTTATCTTTCTCCCTTCGACCAGCTGGTGTGTTCCAACGGCTGATCTTACTGTCCGGAGCTGAGCGCTTAACCACTGTGCCACCGGGGCTCCTTGGGAATAAAGTTAAGCTAATGTAAATCTCTTATCGCACTTCTGATTTTCCCACTCAAGACCTAAAAGACTTAGATCGTGAGTTGCTCCATGGAATGAGGCTGTTAAGAGCGAAAAAGTAAAAGCGGGGGCTGCCCACAATGACCCCAGGGAGGACTCGAGACCAGCCCCACTTCTGTCACGCGGTCCGGTCTCCTTGTCGTGTGCAAATGATCCGAAAGGACGCTTGCACGGTCAAACCCTGGCGGTACACGAATCTCTCAGTCCTAGGTTAGGAACAGCTTTCAAGTTCACTCGCCACTTCCCCAACATTCATTTCATCAAAATCGTGAAACAAATTAAGAAAAGGTGCAATTGCTTGTCTCCCTACAAGTCTTGGGGGCTGGGTTTCCACTTCTCTGCTGTTTGGTAAGAACCCGGAGCAGCTGGTGTAGTTTCTTTTTCCAGGCGGCTTGCGTTTTCAGTTAATGCATTTTCCTCTCTCGCCTTTGGGGGAGGGGAACTGGGCTGCTCGTTTTGGTTGCCCCCTGCCCCCCAATATTTTCTCTCCCACTTCTTCCCCACCCCCGGCCCGTTTTGCTCCCGTGCAAAACAAAACAGAGCGGCTGGCCCCAGACCGAGAGAAAGCCCGAAGGCGGGCTGGGGCCCGGCTGATGCGGGGGGAGGAGGTGGCCGCGGCGCCCCGTCCCCACTTCCCTCCCGGGCCTGAACAATGGCTCAGTGCCCGGAAAACGCAGTTGGGAGGGAGTCGCGCCCCGGGGACAAGCGGGGCTCGGGGCCCCCTCCCCACGTCCGGGCAGCTCCGCGCTTCCTTCCTCCGTCAGGAGCCCACCCGCGCCGCGGGATCCCCGCGCCCAGACCCCCGCCCGGGGCGCCAGACCGCGCGCCTCGAACAATGCGCC